CTGATTACCTAGGAGAACTTCTTATATGATATATAAAATTGACATCATTATTGTAGTTGCTTAGTGTGTGCATCATAGTTGTACATAACTAAGATTTTATATCCCGAGAATGTTTGGTTTAGCCTTGTTTCCTTTTAGTTGTCTGGTTGTGGGCTTAGGGTAGAATCAAGTATTCGACTATCTATGGAATCCAAAGTTATGTATGATTAGCATGCATGAGCGACTGTAGGGTTGGTGGAAGTTTCATGAGTGAGTATGGGTGTAGCAGGCTAGTTGAGGAATGATTAGCCACTTTCAATAGAGTGAATATAGGATGAATATGTATCCTAGTCGTGGGTTTGTTTTAGGGTAGTTTGTGATGATCCATTGAGACAAATACGGGTAAGTGTGGAAGGTAGTATGGACCGGTACTACTAGAAGCATATGAACAATATGTGTAACAATGAAGTCACGAACCTCAAAGGTTTAACCTCTCTATGATAGTTGTAAATGTATAATTGTGGCATTTATGATATATTTTTGGTTCATTTTTAGTATGGTGTTTGCGGGAAGATTTTGTTCTGGAGCTGGTGGCCAAGATTGACAAATGATGACATCTGTGAGTTGATCACTGCTGAGGTAGTTGTTGTTGTTCAGGGTGCCATCCTTGAGGTTTATGATGAGTGCACGTCACCGTTCCGGAGGCTATTGTTGCTGCAACCACCACAATCGTCGTTGTTGCAGGGGGCGAGGAGGAGGTTCATTCTAGTATCGTGACTTCAGCAAGCCCCTGGAGTTTGACGGGGTCAATGACCCGATTGAGCCTATGAGATGGATTTCTGATGAGAAGGGTTGTTTCTTCACCTATTTCTATCCGGAGGACTGGAAGGTTAGGTGCGCCCTAAACCTTCTTCGGTTGGGCGCAAAGGACTCGTAGAAGTTGGTAACTGGTTCTTATGTTCCCATGGTGGATAGGGAGAGATTGGCTCAGGAGTACCTGGATTTGAGACAGAAGATGGAGACGGTAATAGAGATCACCAAGATGTTTACTAAGAGGTGTCTGTTTTGTCCCGAGTTTGTTGATTCAGAGTAGACCCAGATAACGCGATACTTGAGCATGCTCAATACTAATATTCAGCAGTTTGTGTCTACCCAACATTATAGTACCCTCGCCGAGATTTAGGATGCCATGAGGAGGCGAGAGATTGACATAGAGACCTAGGAGAGGAAGCAGAGACAGGCACCCATTCAGTAACAACCTGCATCCAAGCGGTTCAAGCCCACTGATGCACAATCTAGAGGACATAAGTGCCACACTTGTGGCAAGTGCGACAAGGTTCATAAGTGTGTTTTTCGATCTTCTTGTAGATGCCATAAATGTGGCAATGAGGGATTATCGCCAGCAGGCCCCGATACTGAGCACCAGGGTTTCTTACCATTGTGATCAGGTGTGTCATCTGAAGGCCTAATGTCCCTTACTTGCTGCAGACTCCAATCCCGACTATTTTAAGGATCACAGATGGATGCCAAGGTTGGGTAGAGCCCTCGAGGGCTCGGGGTCGTGCTCTGTAGCTCACAGCAGAGGAGTTCATGACTGCGCTAGACGTCGTTACTGGTATGTTTTCATTTATTACTTTGTCAAATTATTTTATGGTATTCTTATGTTTATGATTCTTCTAGGTACCTTCATTGTGAATTCCTTGCATGTTCTTGTGCTTTTTGATTCGGATGCGAGTTGGTCCTTTGTGTCTCAATCATTCAATGGGAGTTTTGATATGTCTCTTGGGGAGTTGGAGTGCCCGTTGCGAGTTTCCATCGCCAATGAGCATGGGGTTTCTACATCGAGCGTTTTTTTGGAGATTTTTAGGGTGTCTTACCCGATTGATCTGATCCCTTCCAATGAGGGATGCATGTTTGATAGTAGGGATTGACTGATTAAGCAGGTTTGGTGCGATGATTGATTGTGAGGATCAGCAGGTGGTAGTTTGAACCCCAATTGGGGAGAACTGGTTGTTTATGGAGAGGGAACTAGGGTTGGATCAACCTCATGTTTTGCTGCCAAGGCTCGACGGTATCAGCAACATGGGTGTATGGGTTACCTCACGTATGTGGTTGACACTCAGGTAGGGAATGAGGTTTCAGTTTCGGATATGCCCGTAGTCAGGGAGTTACCAAATGTGTTTCCGGATGAATTACCTTGTGTGATTCCTAAGAGGCAGGTTCAGTTCAAGATTAATTTGGTTCTCGGAGTGGCACCGATTGCGAAGGCGCCGTACAAATTAACTTTTTTTTTTTTACATATTCGCTTTAATAGATGGTGGTCCATGTTTTTTTTCTTAAATAAACATAAATTCTCCACCACAATATAGAGAAACCCTACTTTGTAATAAAATTAAGTTTAGTGTTTTAATACAAACTCAAGGTTATTATCTCAGGAAATTTCCAATAAAGCTTAAATATTTTAGGCCGGTTTACGGTTTAATCTCAAATTAAATTTTGTTTACAAAAATGGACAGGTTACCGGCTAAAATTTCTGAATAACCTTTAGTGGCTAGTTACACAGATTTAGTCAGCATATCGTCTTTTTTCATCAATTGATCCAAATTTTGGGAGTTCTTTTTTCATTAATTGATCAACATTTTGGGTTTTTTTTCATTATCTTTTACAAATAACCAATATATTAAGACTTTTTTAAGATTACATTTAACTAATGTATATATTATATGATCTAAGTTAATATGTATCATTCTCTGACGTCTTTTTTGCACTCTTTCTAGGCTCACCGTGTGTTTTCATCGTCGTCATCGAACTCAACAACAAAAAGCTCGCTCACAAACATCGTTAACTCCATCAACTTTCAAAAACCATCTATTCACAACAATGCGATCATCTTTTAATCTCCAAGTGAAGAAAATGAGAAAATTCTTGTTGATCACGTGGATTTTCATATTACCTAACAATGACTCGAACTATGGTTCCAACACTCGAATGTTCCTATTACCTAACCATGACGCAGACCATGGTTTGAACACATACATTAATGGCTTTGGCCATAATGCTGTTAACTAGAGAAAACGAATCTCGCATGGTTCCACCACTAAAGGGCTGGAAAATCATAAAGAATGAACCATCAAGTTTAAAAAATCAACATGGGTAAAAAATAACATTTCTCCTTTCTTCATTTGGAGATTAAAAGATGACCTTAGAATTGTGAACCGATGATTTAGGAAAATTCGATGGAGTTAACGATGCTTGTGAGTGAGCTTTGTTTTTGGGTTCTACGACGACGACGAAAACATACGCTGAGCCTAGAAAGACTAGAAGAAAGAAGATGGAGAATGGTACATATTAACTTACATCATATAATATATATATATATTATATATATATATATATATATATATATATATATATATATATATATATATATATATATATTACTTTAAAAGTAATCTTTAGAAAAGTCCAAATATATATTTTGATTATTTCTAAAAAAATAATGAAACAAGCTCCAAAATTTTAATTAAAGTAATGAAAAAGCCCTAGATGTTGGCTAAATCTGTAAACTGATCACGAAGTATTATTCCGAAGTTTTAACCAGTAATCTGTTTTTTTTTTTTAACAAAATTTAGTTAGGAATTTAAATCATAAACTAACCTAAAATATTAACATAATTAGGAAGAAAAAGGATATTTAATTTCTCTTTTCATTATTCATGGTACTTAAATATCTTTGTTTCACAACGCGTAATCCGACATCAAATTTTATTACGATCAATATCATTTCTTACGATTACGAGGTGTTGAAAAATAATAAAACAACAAGTAAATTATTTTCAACTCATATGTCATATGCCAGGTTTTACAAAAAAAAAAATGTAATATCTACTTGCTGCAAATAGTTAATTATATCCGCCTTTTGACACTATTTTTATACCGAAATAAATATTTTAAATATATATTCTTTTTTCTAAATTCTAACGAATATGCATTTTAAAAAATATTTTTTTAAACGGCTGAATTGCAATAAAAAACCAATCTCTAACAAAAAACGATATATTATAGGCAACAATTATTATTCAATATAACTATATAATTAAATTAATTTTAAAATCTATAAACTCAACTAAAAAACAGAATATATACATGGAAATAAAACCATAACGGTATAAAAAATAGTGTAAAAATAATTTTACACCATTTGATTTTATATTATTTCCTCACAGATGGTATTTAGTTATAGCAAAACGGTGTAAAAATAATTTTAAAGAAAAGCATTTGGTGGTGGGTTGACACATCTTAAAATTCTCTTTATACAATTTAGTTATTCAACTTCGCGTAATATACCCTTTTATTTTATTATTTGTTTAATGATATTCTATATGTGATACGGTGGAATACATTTTGACACCATTTTAGTGATATATATATATATATATATATATATATATATATATATATATATATATATATATATATATATATATATATATATATATATATATATATATATATATATATATATATATATATAAAAGTAGGTTCAATGGAAAATGAACAATTATGACAACATATGCTGGAACCAATGATCAAGTGACACGTGTCTATTTTTTTATTCACAAGCAATCTACTATGAAAGTTATTTACGTAGTTATTCCAAAATGATGTGTTGTCATGCTTTTATTGGTTTCAACATATGTTGCCCTAATTGTTTATTTTCCATATAACCCTTCTATATATATATATATATATATATATATATATATATATATATATATATATATATATATATATATATATATATATATATATATATATATATATATATATATATATATATATATATATATATATATGGGATAGTAATTATTAAATTTTACATAGAGTGATAAAAAACAAAGTTAATTTATTTCATACCTCTAATAATTATTACTTATCCCAATGAATTCATGAATTAGGTAATAATTTAACTAGAGTGGATGTAAGCAAATCTTTCAAATGAACATGATACATCGGTCTAACCTTTTCAGTTGTGCCAAGTTCAACGACTCCATTCAGTAGAGGGATGCATACAACAGTCTGTGGAGTTGATGTTCAAAGTTAATTAAGCAACAAATGAAGAGATTGAAGAATTAATGCGCATATAATTATTACTTTAAGGGAGAAAATCGACTTGCCTGTATATCAGCACTCTGGTGCAAGAACCCGAGACAAAACAGCAGCCATCAACATGATCAGAATGTCAAAAAATAATGAGTCACAAAGAACCCAACACAGGCTCACATAGATTATGCTTTTACCTTAATTTTCTATTAATTTGTGCTAGCTATGATCATATCAGTCTAGCTTCATATCATGAATTAAGTATAGATAAAGTGAAATGGAAGCATAATGGAATTGAATGTACGTATATATGATTGTTTATTTAAAGTTTTAAAAGTTTTGATAAAATGTTTTCGAAATTTCCAAGATAATTTTAAATATTTGTTTTGCATATATAATTTTATTTGATTTTGTTACTGTTTGTGTAATTTTTGTTTTTTATATAAAGAATTTCAGATCATTTTAATTAAATTGTATACATACTAGAAATAAAGCTTACACCGTCACTATGTAGATCCTTCCACACTTTAATTTTTTTTTTTTTAGGTGAAACTAATCAAACTATCATATTCACAGTATTATGTTGAATAAATATGTGGTTGTCCTTTTACACGCGTATAATGTCTCGGTATGAATTACCTCGAATGATATTTCTAATTTTGTAATCAATAATTGGGTTGCTTGGTATGTTTTCTTTTAGGTTATGTTTAATATATAATAAGTAAAAAGTTAATTGGAAGCTAAAAAGCTAGTTTGAAAGATAAAAAATTATATAAAAATATATTTAAAAGAATATGTTTTCTATAATTAGTTACATGGTATATTCGTAAAATTAAAAAAATATATATCCTAAAAAACTAGTCTAAATATATTTTTAAGAAATTAACTTATAACCTATTTATGCTCTTGATAGTTTTTATTATTTATTTATTTTTGAAATGGTAAACAAAATTACTCCTAAATAGTTCCTAAATACTATTTATGTTTCCTAACGAAACTTAAACAAGTGACCTCTCATTTAAAAAAGTAATTCTTTACTGTCATACTAAATGCCTATAGTATACTTTTAATAGGTAGTTTTATTAATAAAGTTTGTCATTTTCAAAAAATTAATTCGAACAAGATTAGAAGAATATAATAATAAAGATTTTATAAATGTGTCATAAGAGTATATATAATTCTTTATTCTAATAAAAGAATATGTTTGTTATTTTTTTTCATGTATCATTTATTAGGCCTCCTAATTAATATCAACTCACTTATCAACCTATTGATTCTTTATTTTAAATTTCAAATTTTAAAATTTTCACTTTAATTACATTAAATTAATAATATTAAAATAAAATTAATACAGATTATAAGGTCACGTATTTATTTAAATCAATGATTATAATTTTATATAATTAAAAAATAATTATTAATTAATAATTTATTTAAAATAATTTATTTAAATAATTGATTAATAATTTTAAGCTTTACTATAAAATTTTAATTTATTTTGTATTTATGGTTCCCACAAGTTATAAACTACTCATACATTAATTATAAAAATTATTACAATATTTAAATGTGAAATACATTACTTATAGAGAATATTATTCATAATTAATGCATTTCAAAATTTTCAACAAAAAATATTTCTTATAGTTAATTTATTTCATATTTAATTATAATAATATTTTTCATAATTTAATAGTATGATTAGAACACAATATAAAATCCCGTAATTAGGATTTTTTTTTTCAAACTTTCACAGTATTAGTTTATTCCGTGTACCTTAGCAAGGATGGCTCTTGTAAAAACTGTACTGTTGGCTTCGTTTGCACCGGTGAGCCATAGATGTTGCTGCTTTGCATATGCCTCTCCGACCAATCTACAACCATGCATATATAAACATTATTAATTAATGTAATTAAAAAAACAATTTACAACTTGACCCGACCCGACTTGTCACTTGGGTAAGCAATCCGAAGTAGAAAAGTCAAGGATTTAAGATTTGGTTTATTTTAGGCTGATTATTATTCGATGCTGAAAAACCCAGATAATGCAAGAACAGAAATCAGAATTTAATATCAATGGCAGCAGCTGCAGCTGAGATTCTGAAATTTTGGGAAGAAGTATGATTTATGAGTAATACCAAGCAACCCTAACATGACCTTAAGCCTTTTAGGTAAAACGTGAAGGAATAGTAGCTAGAATGACTGACGTACCCGACGCCTGGAGGAAAAGAGAATGAGACGCAGACAAGGTAGAACCATTCAGCCTCCGTAAGATCCTCCGGTAACAATGCCACCGCGGGCCGCCGTATCGTGGGCTGCTGGTTCTCCGTCGCCTGCTGTTCGCCGGCAACCAATGAATCGTAGAGCTCTCTGAGCTGTTCGCTTCTACACAAAGCCGCCTCCTCCGTGCTAACTTCCACAGACTGCACCGTCTTCCTGGTCTTTATTGCGCCATTGTAGTACCCGTCTCCCCAAACTAAAACCCTAACCACCATCGAAGAAGGCCGGAATACAAAACCAATAAACTTAGATGAAATTTCAGAGAGCAATATCGAATAGCAAATCTGATTTTCGTACCGTTGTTGAGGACAAAGCTGCCAGAAAATAATGTAGGTCCATTGAACAGATTGTACAGCAGACTGCAGCATCGCTTTTAATCCATCGTAAGGTTCAGTAAGAGCAACGGCCATGATCAAACTCCTTTCAGATATCTCTTTAGACCCAAATACGTCTCGAAACCAAAGAATATTCGAGAACCAATCGCATGCACATATACCAGCAGCAACCACTTCTAATGAGAAATTAGCAACTTCCGGCGCGATTTTTCGAATCAACCATTAACATTAAGAAAGTGTGAGTAAATTAAAGATTCTGAGATTGGATCTGGTGTGATAAGAAAGGGAGAGAGAACTGAATCCGAGTGGTGATGAGTATTGAGTAGTGAGGCGGAAGGGGGGTTGCCAAGTTGACTGGTTGGTTTAATAGACTGTGGTTCCCAGTCACTCTCTCTAGTCTCTAATGTGAACGACGTCTCCAAATTGTAGACGCTCATTTGGTTACAAGTGTCAACACCATATCAATACAATCAATACGATATATGTATTATTTGGGTGTACATTAATTACATAAATTATATACTTACTCTAAATTGTTTTGTTTTTGATCCAAATTGTTTTCTTTTTGGGTAGCTATTATAACCATTAATGTTAGGTTGTATAAAACGTTTAGGACTCGTAATTTATTTTAAAAAAATAATTAATGCATATTACATGTTAAAAATTATAATAAGTATTAATTAAATCTTCAGCATTTAATATACATTAATTACTTTCTTAGAGTAATTAAAATGATTTGTCCAAAATCAATCCTACATACATACCCGACCTGCCTATGGATCTCCTGAATGAAAAATCTCCTCAAGAGGAATATTGATTTTTTCCACTGCAATTTTTCTTTTAACAATATTCCTCCAAACTCCCGTCCATCGTCCCTTAATTTGGTTCGAATTTTGGACTGCCGACAAGCTGTGCAACCCCTTTATAATCTTAACCCATAAGGAATTGGGTTCATTCTTCAATTTCCATAACCACTTGGTAAGAAGTAGGGATGGCAAAAGAAACCGAACCCGATGGTGAAAACCGAAAACCGACATATTAGGGTCGGGTTTGGGGTCGGTTAATTGGGGTCGGGATCGGGTTTGGTATGCTTTTAGAAAATTTTCGCGGGTTTGGTTACGGGGACAGTAAACAAAATACCCGTCCCGATTACCCGAAACCAAAACCAAAACCGAAACCCGTTACCTGAAACCGTTAATATGATTATATATATATATATATATATATATATATATATATATATATATATATATATATATATATATATTAATTTCTTTGAGTTATCTTCTTTGTTGTGAACGATTTAAAGATAATTTCTTGAGATAGCTTCGTGTTTATTTGTAATGCTAGTGTTTTGACACTTTTTTATTCATATTACTTAGAGTAATAGTGATATTATGGTTTATGAATGCTAGTGACTTTATTGTTTTTGTTGCCACTAGTAACCACTTATGTATCAGAACAAATATGTATGCTCTTAGTAGTTTTGTAAATTATCAAAATTATTTTGGATATGAATTTATGTTTGCATCACTAAGTCTAATGGTTTGTATTCTCATTTCATAAAAAAAAAATTAATTTGAATGTTAAACGGGGATCCCCCATTACCCCGTTGGGATACCCGCAGACCCGATAGTGTTTGGTAAACGGATACCCGTTGGGAATCGAGCCGGTGATGGGATCGATTTTCATATTCGGGGACGGGGGCGGGATTACCAAAACCCGTCCCAAACCCACCCCGTTGCCATCCCTACAGAAGTGCGAGGTTTGGAGCCCGTATTGAACCCAAACCTAGACCACCCACATTTTGAGACGTAATCTTTTCCTATGCGATCCAATTGATGCTCTTATTGCAATCTGGACCGCCCCAGACTGTCTACGGATTTTTTCAAGAGAGTTTATGACACCAACCGGGGCATCAAAAATTAACATATAGTACGTGGGTAGACTCCCGAGTACCGCTTTAGCAAGTGTGATACGACCCCCAAAACTGAGTGTTTGTGCCTTCCACACCGATAATTTACTCTTTAGTTTTTCCAAGATTGGCCTCCAAGACATCATACGGTTCATATTCATTCCGATCGGGACACCAAGAAACGTAAAAGGCAATGATGCTGGTTCACATCCCAACAAGTTTGCCCAGCTGACAACTTCATGGTATGGAGCTCCAACACCAATAACTTTGGATTTGTTGAAATTTACCTTCAAGCCCGAAACAACATAGAAGCATCGAAGTATCCTTGCAAGGTTTGCAACATTTCTTTTTTACCATTCCCCTAAAAATAATGCATCATCTGCGTACAATAGATGGGACAAACAAAAATCATCATTAGGAATATTAATACCATCAAATATACCTCTGGAGGTTGCTGATTTCGTTGCGATATTATGGGGATAAGGGATCCCCTTGTCTCACTCCCTTAGACATCGCAAACTCCTTAGTGGGGCTACCATTGATAATGATCGAAGCTCTAGCTGATTCCAAGCAGCCTTTGATCCAAGTACGCCACTTTGTCCCAAAGTTCATTTGCGACATAATGGAGTCAAGATAACCCAAATTAATAGAATGAAAGGCCTTGTTAAAATCTGCTTTGAATAGTAATATTTTTCTTCTATTAGCCTTTGCCCACGAACAAATCTCATTTACAACGAGTGGGCCCTCCAAAATATTCCTTCCCTTTATGAAAGCAGATTGTACGCCATCAATTACACTCCCAATTACCTTTTTGACCCTTAGGGCCAAGATCTTTGCAATGATCTTATACATAGAACCAATCAAACTAATTCGCTGATAATCAACAAAATTGAAAGGATCCTTAATTTTCGCGGCTAGGTTAATGAATGAAGCATTACATCCCCTTGAGAATTTCCTCATCCTTTCAAAGTGTTTAACATATTCAACGACATCGCCTTTTATCGATTCCCATAATCTTTTAAAAAAATTTAGTGTAACCCCATACGGCCCCGGGGCCTTCTCGCTACCACACGCCCATACAACATTTTTTATTTTGTGAATCGAAATTGGAGATTCTATAAATTCTGCATCTGCATCTGATAGTTTTTTAAACAATGTACTACAAAATTTTGGCCTATTTTTCCATTTTTCATGGAACTTTTTTGAGAAGAAATCAACTACTATATTTTTCATTTCATTAGGGTTTGTTATCCATTTTCCTTCCACCAAGAAACCATGGATCTGATTTCTTCTTGCCCTGTTGTTCACATATCCATGAAGGAATCGAGAGTTCTCATCACCATCAACAACCCATTTGATTCTCGCCTTTTTCCTGAGATCTAACGAAGCCAATCTTTCCAATTTTGAGAGCTTACCAAAACCCCAAGCCCTCTCATGGTCGGATAAATGCCTAGTTGCTGCCAGTAAGTCCAATCCCTCCATTCTTTTTTTTATATTGTTATTCTTTCATCATTCTCCTTATGATATTCAATTGCCTTCCACTTTTTAATTTCGCTTTTAACAATTTTGAGTTTATTAGCAAGGAATGAATCGGCAGCTCCATAACCCTTGAAGTCCACCCAAGCTTTAAGAACAACCTGTTTGAAATCATTTCTCAACAACCAGGAGTTGAACATCTTGAATGGGGGAGGTCCAAAATCTTCAGACTCTGTTGAGAGAAAGATTGGAGAATGATTCAAGAGTTCTTTGGGGAGTGTAACAGAATATGCCAACAGGAATTTTTCAATAAATTTTTTGCATACTAGGATTCTGTCTAGTTTGCTTAATTTTGCTCCGTACTGTTGAAAGTAAGTGAATCTATCCCCCCCCCCCCCCACACACACACACACATTTTCAGATCACACAAATCGGCTTGTTCTATGAATCTATTAAAAGAGTCAGCACTCGACTTATAGAATGACGAGTTTATACGTTCCTCCGGACTACAAACAACATTAAAATCTCCTAAGATTACCCAGGTGGCTTGCTTAGCCTGCTTGAGGTTAATAAGATCACTCCAAAGCTTGCTTTTTTCAGATATTGATTTTGGACCATATACATTTACAATTGCTATCAAACCGTCTACTGCCAGGTAATTTCCAAAAATCACAAGAAAGTACCTGGATACAATCGCGTATGTGATGTTGAAGAAGCTAGGGTCCCAAATTGTGACTAGACCACCCGATCTCCCAGTGGCATTGACTGCTTCAAAACCATAGTTATTGTTCCCCAGCATCTTAAGAAAAACAATGAATTATTAAAATTGATTTTTTTATCTTTTAAATTTAAATAACAAAATAAACTAATGAGCTTTAATTTGAGAATTTTGAAATAAGAAGGTAAATTCATTAATAAAATTTATTCACTTATTACTACATTTATTATAATTATTACATTAAAGTAGTATGTAGAATTTATTAAAATAGAAAAATTCATAAAATAACATGTGAAAAGAAATTAATTCAAAAGTTTGAAGACTTGAGTTAAGGAAATTAATTAAGAAGTTCAATCGGGAGAAAAATAAAAAATTTAAAATATTAAATTTATGTATATAAATTTATTTACATTACTTAAATTAAACACCATATTAATTAATTAACATCAATGCTAAAAACAAGCAATATAAATATAAGGTATAAACATAAATATTTTATTTGAAAGTGGTAATCTTTTCTACACAATAACTAATAATAAAATCTAATAACTATTTTTTCGTAAAAAATTATTTACTAAAAATCGTCATTACTTTGAACAATGCATAATTGATTTATATATAAAAAAAACTTTGTAACTTATATATATATATATATATATATATATATATATATATATATATATATATATATATATATATATACTCTAATAAATGAAGATTTTTTTTGCCACATGTCACATTTTCATTCAATTTATCAAATGTCATTTTGTGGTTATTTTGAATTAATTTCTTTTCCACATGTCATTTTATGAGTTTTTCTATTTTAATAAATTTTACATAATACTTTAATGTAATAATTACAATAAATATAGTAATAAGTGAATATCAATTTTATTAATGATTTTACCTTCTTATATATGAAAAGCAGCAAACCAATAAAAAAATAATATTGAATTAATATTAAAA